CAACCCCGTAACAATATGCGTTTTGTACTGCTGTTACACAGCACAAAACGCATAAAAATCAGCAACATTTGCATGCCATCAGTAACAGGGAACGAGTAAAGCTTTTCAAAATTTTATCTTTCCGCAAAAAGCCCAATTACTTTATACCACAAGGCAAAAGCCACGAAAAATTAGTCTCGCAAATTCATTCCTCCTGAAAGATACAAAAAGTCAAGCTAAAGGCATGATAGAACATATTCGCAAAAATTTTGTGTCAGAAAAATTCCTGAAAAAAAAAAGAATCGTCATTTTCCGAAGTAACTAATGCAGTATTTCAGGCCGGTTGCACGATACGGTTACTACTTTTTTTTTTGAGATAATTGCGTAATTTCAGATAACATAATGGCCTACTTCTCTTCCACTAGAATTGGTGGCTGTGCCCCCAGGAAACTCTTCTTGAACGCTTCCGAATTGATGTTCACTGTTTTAACCTCCACGCGAACAACGCCGAGTTCGTACAACGCATAGAGCTCCATCCAAAATTCTTGGCAAAACAAGCATGCCCCGATGCGACGATTCTCGATACCCGATGCCTAAAATAACAGAAATGCTCGAGTGAGGTGATCTAAAATAACAAAAATTTCCACAGATTTGCGTATTCTGCATGTTTCCGTCAACGTTTATCTGTAAACAACTCCCGAATTAGGGGACGAGGAGTAATGACAGCCCTGCAAATGAACGGTTGCCGTTGCCACTTGCTGCTTCCGAAATGCGTTCGAGAGTGCCTCTGTCTTTTTTTTAGAAAGTAAGCAAGCAAATAGTTGATTTCTAACTTTATATATGCTATAAAATATGTGAACCAATCTTCAAAGGCATCGACTAAAAACTTCTATCCCTCCCAAATGTAGGTAGGTTAGAGCAATTCGAAGAGAGTGAAGTTATAAACTAATGTAGGAGAATGAATGGATCGAATGGATCGTCGTGAGACGACGGAAAGAGGAAATGAAATAGATAGTGAAGCGCATATGTGTATTGTAAAAAGTTAAGAGGATGTAAGGAGGAAATGTAGGGAAGTTCCCATGCCGACTTTATGTACATTATAAAATCTCAAAACCAATTAATTCGCAGAGACACATAAAAGCTTCCATCCCCTCGATCAAGATAAGTTAGAGTAACTGGAAAATACGGTATATTAGTGAGAAAATACGTAGAATTTAAAGCTAAAACACTGAACAGGAATGTTTCGGTCCATCAAGTCGCATATATTTAAATTCAGGAGGTTGGCTTAGTAAATTTGTAAAAGTGATTTTACGCACATTTTGTACCACAAAGTGCCCAAACAATCAACCTTAAAGCTAAAAACCAGAAATTTTAATCCCTCATGTAATAGACAAATTAAAAAAATTCAAATTTACAACTTCCCAGGATTGCCTAATAGCATTGATTTCATGGAAGTTTTGTGCTAAAATGTCGCACAATATTACTCCTCAAAATTGAGGGCCAAAAAACCGCACACACACTCACGTACACACATACACATATACACACACGCATACACACATACACACACGCACACATACACGCACAAACACACACACATACACATATATACACACACACTCAAACATACACACATATCCTCCCCTACCCTCCTCCCCCCCTCCCTCCCAGATCATTTACAACAGAGGAAGTGCCGTAACATTTTTATGCGTTTTTTGCAGCAATGCAATGCGAAAAACGCATACTGACGAGAGGTTGTCTGTGTGTGTGTTTGTGTGTGTGTGTCTGTGTGTGTGCGCTGGGCCTCTGTACCGATTTTCCATCTCGAGACCGGCAAAAGCTACGGGGCTGAAACTTTGGGGACATAATTTACATGCACATACGGGCCCCCATCCACAAAATTGGCGCCAAAATCCGCGTGGTACCCGCGTACGGGCCCGCCAAAGCTTTTTGGGGTCGGTTCATAACTCGATGATCTGAGAAGCTAGAAGGCTGAAATCTTGGGGTAATGTTCTGCGCCCAAGCGGGTATTAGTGGGCACAAACCCAGACCCCGGGTACGCATGGTACCCCCGTACGAGCCCATCAAAATTTTTTTCGGGTAAGTTCATAACTCGGGGATCTGAGAAGCTAGAAGGCTGAAAACTTAGGACAATGTTGCCCGCCCAAGCGGCTATTAGTGGGCTCAAACCCAGACCCCGGGTAAGCATGGTACCCCCTTGCGAGCCCCCCCAAATTTCTCCCGCGCAAATTCATAACTCGGGGTTCTGAAATGCTAGAAAGCTGAAATTTTAGAGGAATGTTCCCCGTCCAAGTAAGCGTGGTA